CCCCAAAACCCCAAAACCCCAAAACCCCAAAACCCCAAAACCCCAATACAAGTAGGTTTCTTTGAAAATTTATACTTTATTTATTTTTAGCATCCTTCTTCTTTTCGTCATCACTGTCCTTTTCTTTCTTGTCTTTCTTATCTTCTTTATCCTTCTTGGACTTTTTATCATCATCATCTTCGCTAGAAGGGTAGTCGCTATCTTTCTCTTCAGAGATAGCATTCTCGAAGTCACTTAATACTTCGGCTTTTTGAGGTAGGACCTTGTCCTTTTCACTGTACTTGAGCGGAGCTTTACCGCTCGTTTTCCTGTCGCTCAATTTATTGTCTAATTTTAGTCTCAGTTCTTGGGTTAGCTCAGGATTTCCATCCACTTGATCTTCAAGATCAAGTCCAATGTATTGGAGGAGGGTAACAATAGTCTTGTCTGTGATAAGACTTACATCTCACTCCATTGAGACTCTTGAGTTCTCAATCTTCACATTCTTGAGATTATCCAGCACCTTTGCTTGTTGATCGATAGAGTATAGCTTATTAATACTAGAGGATTTCTTAGTGAGCAGAAGGTTCTCATCTAGTTTTCCTTTAATAAGAGTAGCATTCTTCAATTTCTCCTCCTTTTCATTTGGTAGAATGATCTTTTCTCTCTTTGGTTTAGCACCTCTTTCCATCAGATGGCCTTCTCTCTTATTTTTCTTGCTCTTCTTGCGTTCGAGCTCCTCTTCTTCATTTTCAGAATCATTTTTCTCAGATTTCTCTTTTTCCTTCTTACTCTTGATAGTAGAATCAAATTTCTTCTTCAGGGTTTGCTTCTTCTTCATATCTAAGCTTTCTTTAGCTTTTTCCTCTTCAAGTTTCTTTTCTAATTTTCCCTTAGTCTGACCGCCGAGAAGTTTTTGTCCATATACAGAGATTCTCACAAGGGCCTTCTTGAAGTAATCGTAGTTGAGAACCTGACCATTCTCTGGGTCTTCCTCATTAGCCTCTCTAACTAGCTGATGGAAGATATATACCATCTGCTGGACTGGAATAATAGTTGGGATGATATTGCTTTCATATCCAAACTTAATAAACTCCTTATAATTCACAGTAGAGAATGCCTTATCAATGTCTCTGGTAATTTCATGATGATCTACTTTACAGTAGTAGTCATAGAAATACTTCAGTTGGGTATTGTAGTCTTTAAACACAGCTTGCACAGCTTTGCCTTTCAGGAAATTATTAATTTCCTTCTTCTCTTCCTTTTCTTTCCCTATATTGTCTTTGTTCTTCTCTGCAAACTCCTCCCATTTCTTCTTAGTTTCGTCTTTGAGTGCCTTGTCCATTTCTTGGAATTCCTTCTCAGCCTGTAAAATGCTCTGCTTCTCTTTCTTCATCTGCTTGAAGTCCTTTCTGATCTTCTTGTGCTGCTTCTTCAGGAACTCTTTGTTTTCTTTTTCAAACTGTTCCTTGCGCTTGCGTTCTTGCTCTTCGTCCTGCTCTTGGCGCTGCTTGAGACGATCCATCTCCTCCTGCTTCTTGTCTTCGTACTCTTTGCCTCTTCGCTCTTTGTCTTGTTCACGCTTGCGCTTGAGGTCCTGCTTCTTGCGCTTGCGCTCTTCCTTTTTGCGTTTGCGTTCTTCCTTGGTGTCTTCAAGCATTTTGCGTTTGTCTTCTTCTGCTTTCTTGAGCTGGGTTTTCAAGTCGGCGTCTCTCTTTTTGCGTTTGGCTTCTTTGTCTTTGAGGAGTTTGCGTTCTTTGCGGGCTTTCTGTTCGTGCTCTTTAATGGCTTGGTTCCTCATTCCAATAGGACCATACTTCTCACGGTTTGGAAGGGCTTTGTAGCCTCTTTCAGCAGCTTTGAGTACTTCTTCGAGTGCTTCGGCAACTTCTTTGGCATGGTCTCGCTGGTCTTTGGGGAATTTGGCTACTTCGAGGGCAAGAGCTTCACTTAATTTGGGATGTCTCTGCTTCTCATTTCTCATCTTCTGATATGCAGACATTTTAGCCTTATCATTGAGCTCTTTAGGCTTTGTATGCTTATCCAATGACTGAAGATATCTTGGTGTCTCATTCTTCGAAGAATCATTTTTAAATTTCTTTGTAATCACTGGCTTTACTTTTATTGACTCTTTATAACTAACTATTGGCTCCAGGAAATGAAGATCGAATTTCTCAAAGATAATATCGTCTAGCATTTCCAAAGCCATTTTCTTTGTTGGGTCTATCGGTATGTAATCGGGAATTTTGTAGGAATATTCTGTCTCTTTTTCTTTTACCTTTTTATAATCTTCAGGAATAGGATAGTTGGGATCCTCCTTTATTTTCTTATTCAATGCCTTGAGAAGAGTTGTATCTCCAATACTTGTAGCATCTGGATCTTCAAATAGAATTGTTGATGCCTTCTTCTTTTTCTGAGCAGCTTCAAGAGCTTTCACAAATTTCTTCAAACATTCAACTGGAGGGAAGTGGGAAAGATCTTCTGGAGGCTTAGTATAAATAAATATAGCTGTCTGGATGATCCATTCTAAGAATCCTTTATAGTTCATAGCTGTGAGATCACTCTTCTTTATCTTTTTGAAATTCACCAATCTTATGATAGCCCCAACTTCTTCTTTGGTGATATACTCTTTTGTATAATCATGGTCGCTAAGCAACTTTAATGCTTCAGCTAAGTTGATGGTACTATGTTTCTGGTTTAATTGATCGAAATCCTTGACTTGCTTAGTAGAGAAACCCATATTAGCATATTTCTCAAAATAAAATTTCCATAATTTAGAGTACTTTTTCATGAAAAGTTTAATCTCTTCTACTTCTCTTGGCTCTTCTTCTTCAAAGTCAAACAGTTCAATTTCTGGGAGTCCGCTTCTTTTCTCGCTCAACTTGAATTTATCAACTTCACCTTCTTTAAAAATGATCTTTTGTACTGCATCTTTCTTGTTCATCGAAGTGACACCATGTTCAATTTTCCTCTTTTGGAGTTCAGAGGCTAGTCTTCTTTTACTCTTAGCAACTTTGATCTTCTGCTGTTTATCCTGTAGCTTTACAAATTCTTCCTTTTCCTTTCTTGTTTTCTGAAGCCTCTCAATCTCAAGCATAGCTTTCCTGCCAATTCTTCCCTTTGGCTGAAGCTTTTTCCATGGAATGATTTGTCTTTTAGAGTCTCTAGACATTCTTGGGTTTCCGTAGTCTTCGTATGGGACTATTTCCATGCTACTTCTGTTGTTGATTCCTTCAACAGCACTTACATTTCCAGGATCCATGTCATCTGCAAGGACTAATTGTTGGTTTTTCTTGGCTTCTTCAGCTTCTTTCTTCTCTCTTTCTTCTTCTTCCTTCATGAACTTTTCAATTTGCTCTGTTGGGTCTCCATAAAATTTGAGGAGAACAAGACATCCAACGTTATTGTGTCCATGAAGCTCGTTATTTCTCTTATTAGTACTAAGAGCAAGGTTCCTCAGCTGATTATTGATAATAGGTTGCCTAAGGTTTTGGATCTTCCTCGCACATTCGATTATGAAAGACTTCTTGAGACTCCTGGTGATTTCCTTTTCTTCCTTACTCTCTTTCATTCCTTTCCTCTTAGAATTGATGTTCATTGTTGTGGGAATCTTGACTTTCTTGGTTGTTTTTCCTTTTTCAAGAGCTAAAAGCATTGACAAAGATACAGTCAGATATTTTATCAAAAAGTCATGAATAGCATGATCGTTGATGAATCTGGATATCAACATCATCAGAGGTCTGCTTCATGAACGAGCATAGGCTTGGTCGTTGAGATATATCTTTGCCAAAATATCTATCAGAGGCATTGCCTGATTAGCCTGAAGCTTTGGGTGCTTTGCAATGCAGACAAAGAACTGGAAATCAATTGAATTGTAGAAATAACTGATTCCCTCTGAAATTTGGAGTTGATTTACCAATGGCTCAACAACTATTCCAACAGGAATAGTAGGCTGGGTTTCAAATATCTGCTCAAAATTGTGCATAATATACTCCCTTGTTGTCGATTCACTGTGGTTTTCTACTAATGACATAGCAAGTGCTTTATAAATTGAAGGAGCATACGTATTCTTCTGTCTTGAGAAATTATCCAGCAGTCTGAATGATTGAGATAAGGCAGTTATTCTCAACGGTCTAAACTTATCTCTAGCAGCTCTCTTAAACACTTTTAGAATTTGATCTGCAAGATCTTCTCTTTGGTATAATTTGTCGGGGAAAAGAGTCCACATATCAGCAAGGAAGGCTATTGCTGCAGTTCTTTCTTCTGGGGAATCACTTCCATCGAAATCAGCTTGCCTAACATGAACTTCTAGCCAATAATCGATTAGCCCAGTGTTTAGCATATCATCTCTGTATTCTTTGGTGTCAGCAAGGACATGTGTGAAGTCACTAATCACCGAGATGTAGTCTTGACCAGAAGGATATAGATTTTTGAAAAGGTCCTTCATGATATCAAACAAAGAATCCTTTGTAAATTGTAAGAGGCAATTAACCACTGACTCTATCAGATCAGAGTGCCTTTTGAGTGTATACAGGATTGCTTTGATACCACCCTCAGGAGTGGAGTTGATCAACTAAAGAACAGTTATTATCAGAAATGTTGACATTATATGAATGATGAAGGTCTGATCAAAATTACTTACCCATTCATAGAGTGGATCAGCACAAATGCTGTCTTCAAATTCATAAGCAAGCTTTGTTAGGAATCTTAGTCACCATTGAGCAACTTCGTAATTATGAGAGTAACATCCTGTCTTGACTGCGTTCATCGCCATTATCAGGGTATTATTCTTCTTCTGTTTCTTTGTCTCTAAGATGATAACTTCAGAGAAAAATTCAGCAATAGAATTTAGTTCTTCGTACCAACCAATCACAGGTTTGAAATTTCCCTTCAATCCTTTTACTGCAGAGTGCATCAAATACTGGTTGTTGTTAGTTAGAAGAGCAGCACATTGCTTTGGCTTCATGTTAAAGTTTCTGCAAAGAGTGTTGAGAATAATCTCTAGGGAGCTATCTCATTTGGTTGGCTTCCTATTAGGGTCCATTGATAGAATATCAACTCCTTCCTTAACTCTTTTCTTTCTCGCTCTTTTCTCTGTTTTCTCTGAAATAAACTCTCCTACCCTCTTGAGAAGGTCAGTTATCATATCAATATCTCCGCGAGTGACTTGCTTATTAGTGTCCTCGTCAATTTGAATTCCAAGTTTGTCAACTTCCTTGAAAATAATCTTCCAGTTATTATATTTTGCTGTTCGGGAATCACTCTGGTCAATTTGAGAGAGGGCTTCAGTATCAATACTTCCATAAGCCTGGCTATTTTTATTCATATTTGTCGCAACGTACTCCAGGAAGCGGCCTGGGATGACACCGTTCTCTAGCTGAGAAGTCACCTCTCTATCAAGGTCAATGGTATCATTGGCATTCCCTGAGTGATAATCTGTGATATTCTGGGCTGTGAGGCTATCAATCGCGTTAGCGTTGACTAACTTTTGAAATAACTCAAACTCCATAATAATTTTTAATTGTTTTTATTTATCATTACTTATCAACTTTCTCTTAAGAAAAAGGGGTTTTGGGGTTTTGGGGTTTTGGGGTTTTGGGGTTTTGGGGTTTTGGGG